AAATATAATAAATCTAATAGGTACAATAAATTAAATTTCAAAATGTTAAATAATAGTTTAATCTCCAATAATTATTCAAAATTTACTATTAAACAACAAAACAAAAATAGAATATAGATAATTATTGAAAATATATTTATAATAAAAATACAATAAATAATTAATGAAAATACAATAAATATTAATTTTAGTATATATAAATATATAATAGATATAGAAAAAGATTTTAAAACTATTATTAATAAATATTATTCTTTTCTAAAAATTATATTTTAGAATTATTAATTTATATAAGTGAAATAATGTTTTTATTATTAGTACATTAAGAAGTGATATTATTATTATTATATTTATATTTTTTAATAGGTTAAATTTCTTAAACTACCCCTAAGGTTTAAGAAATTGACTAAATATACCCCTACTATTTTAGTATTGTCTTAAAGTACCCTTGGTATTGTTTCTAATAATTGAATTAAATCTTCTTTACTATCAGTGTCTGTTAATGAAAGGATTAAAAAGACTATTTTTCCCATCATTTTTCTTTAAATTTTCAAAGTGAAACTTTTGATTCCTTATTGAAAGTGAGACAATGCTGGAAATGCTGTGGACATCGTTTAAAGATGTCAGTGAGGTTTTTGGTTGTCGTTGTCTGCAAGAAAGCTGGCAATCAAGGGTATTGGTCGTCATTGTTCTCGTTGGAAAAGAGACAAGCACTCTTGCTTTTCTTCTAGTTAACTCCGAATAAAAGAACTTTGATCAATAATCATGTTGCAGAGAATCATCCAAGGAATAATTCAACCAAGAGACCATCTCTTGGTCCAACCAGTGTGAAACCATTCAAGACAGGCTCTTCAGTTCCTGACCTTCCAATCTTTGGATTAGTGGCGTCCCCTCCATTTTTATCTTGAACCTTGGAAGCACAAACTCAGATTCCCAGTGATTTCTCACAATTTCCTCATATCGGTTTTGTCCTCCTCACACTTATATTAGTTCAACATTTAGGCTCCTAAATCATCATTGGCTTCCTGCTCTCGGTCTTCATTGCATCATAGTGACAACTGCCGCTCAAATTTATTTTGTTCTCAATCCCAAGCAAAACGAGCACCTAGATGGTTGATCTTTCTTTTTTAAAGAATTATTCATTGCTTCTTATGATCTTAGAAAAGATGGAGCAATTAAATGGTTAATCATTCGTGAAAAGTTGAAGAAAATTAATACCATATCCAACAACAAATCAATGGATCCATGTTATTCAAAATAAGGGTTAAGTACTTTCTAATCCAATGCAGAATTCTGAATGACAGTCCCCCATAGTTTACTAGTGTCCTCCCCTATAAACCACATCCCTGTCTGTGGATTTGGCATCAATTTACGGTTAGGATTCATCCCCCTGTACAATGGGCCTAGAAAATTCTGATATGGACTGATAAGTCATTCTCCCTTCAAAATAGTCATGACTTGTGATCCTGCTGAAAAATAAGGGGGGTCATGACTTATGAATCGGCTGTTCTCGTAATTTATCAAACATCTAGGGACATCTCTATAATTTAAGTCAAATGCATAGGAAACATCTCCTTTTTCATTCATGGGAAATAGAGGTGTAAATCAAGTTGGCATGGCTCGGCACGATGGCACTCGAGTAGGAATGGCAATGGGGCGGGGTACCCCCTCCCCGTCCCTGCCCCGAAGTCATGATACCTTACCCTGTACCCACCCCATCCCTGGTGGCAGGGCATCCATTCCTCATCGGGGACAGGGAATCCCCAAATTTTCCTCACTCCAAGGTAATTACTTAAAAATTATCTATTTTATGGACAATTTATACATAGGATATAGGAATTTGGAGGTATTTTAGAATTGAATTATAATACTTTTGGGGTAATTCAAAAATAAAATTATGGGATCCTAGGATTTTAAAAAATTAGGGAAAACTTAGAAATATTTTAAATATCAATTTTAAACCTAGAGATATTTTACTAATTTACCTTTGGGTTCGGGGTGGGTTCGGGGAATTATATACAAAACCCATCCTCGCCTCGTACTTGGTTTGGGGAAAAATCATTTCCCCTGTCCCCGCCCCGTCCTTGCTTAGGGTCGGGGAAAACCCTCCCCGTTCGGGGCAGGGCGGGGCGAGGCCTCGATTTTACGAGGGAAATTGCCATCCCTACACCCAAGCCATGCCAGGCATGGCCCAATCATGTGGGTCATGCTAGGTTGGGGATTTTAGGTCCATGGGTTAGCATGAAATGGTATGGCTATGCATGTCATGCCACCCATGACCCATGTGCTAGCACGACCTAACTTGCAACACAGCATAACTTGCAATGGGTCGAGTGTAGTCTCCGAGAAAACTAGCCATGGCCCATTGGGGGCCTACTTAGGGCCCTTGTGAGACTCTCCAAACAGGCAGTTTTAGCTTTTTAGGGGGGTTTTATAGAAATACCCCTCAATCAACAACTATAAGCCTATAAATAGCTATATAGGGGGTATTTATATATTTTGGCATTGGGGGAAAGAAAAAGTCAATAATGCCCCTCTAACAACTATATCCTATAATATATCAGTTAGTTTTGGATTTTGCGGGCATTTGGGTAAAGTGATAAATAACTTTATAATGACTAAGATACTCTTCCCAACAATTAAAAAGTAGCTATTTTTTAGAGTATTTTGGGCAATTGAATTATTTTCAATTCCTATAAATAGCCATATCCTCCACCATTCTCATCACTTCAATTCAGAAATTCCTTTCTTAATTCTCATACTCTCTCAATTTCTCATCTCATACAGTCATACTATCATAGTGTTATACACTTAGCAATTTAGGAGGCTTTGACCTTTGAGGCTTCAACCTTTGAAATCAAATTGAAATTTTGAACCGGAAATCCAATCATTCGGGTAAATTCAATTAAATTGATTTTTATTTTTTTAGAATTAAAAAAGTGGTCGACTCCTCCTCCTAAAACTAATTCCCCAATAGTCAGTTCACTAGACCGATTTAGAAAGCATTTAAAATAGAGGAGGTTGAGGGGAAAGGGCAAAAGAACTGTTTGTAAAAAATGTAGGATTGACTTTAGCTTCAGTAGCAAGGGTGGTACCGTGGTACTGGCCAATTGGGCAGACATTTCCTCTTCCATGAGAAACAAGAAAAAGGCATCTACTTTAAAGATTTGTTAGATGTTGAGGATAAATTACAAGACAAATGAGGGGATGACACTACTACACCTAGGGGTGGCCACGAGCCAAGCCTTTCACGAGCTATTCGAGTTTAGCTCATGAAAATCTTGACTCGACTTGGTCTAAATCAAGCTTCGAGCCGAATTTGAGCCCAAATATAGGCTCATTTTCTAATTGAGCTGAGCTCAAGCCCAATGAAGCTTAGTTCATGAGGCTTGTGAGCCTAGTATTAAATAAATCATTTTTATTATATATATACACTAAAAATATAAGGGTAATACACTAGTTGAAAACAATGGACGAGTTCACAGATTTTTCAATGGATGATATGTTAAGAAAATGGAAAGAACTTGCAAGTTTAGTCTCAATTAAGAAGACCCCGAATCCCACATGGAACCCTCCACCTCTTGGTTTATCAAACTAAATTTTGATGCCAGTAGCATGGGGAATCCAAGGCCCTCGGGTATTGGGGGGTGCTAAGAGATGAGAAAGGGAATGTAATAGCTATGTTCTCTGGCCCAATTGGAGTGGGAGACTCTTTGAGGGCTGAGGTATAGCAACTTTGGAAGGTGTACAAAGGGCTAAAGACCTAAATGTCAAGAAACTGATTACAGAGGGAGATTCTGTGGTTGCAGTGAACTGGTTAAAAGAAGACACTTTTAAGCTTTGTAGCTACAGCAATGAAAAGAGAAAATTCAAATGATTGATCAAGAATATGGAAGTTCATTGTACTTGGGTAAAGAGAAATGCAAACTCCTTTGCTGATGGATTAGCTAGGCAGGCAAGGGGTGAATAGGGTTTCTGGTTTCTAGGCTCAGTTGTAACTGTTGTTATTTCAGTTTGGGTGCCTACCCAACTTCTGGGGAGTTAAGATACTTTAGCTCTTCTTCTTTGTAAGCTTATTCCTATTTAATGAAATCTGTTGTTATTGATCAATCTATATCTATATATATATATATAAACATACATACATAATTTTATTATACATATATATGTATGTATTTATAATAGTAAATAATTTTTATAATTATTAAATTTTTGTCTAAAAAATAAAAATATATAATTTTATACATATAATTTTTATTTTTCAAAAAAAAACTTGGCTTAAAGTTGAGCTCAAGCCAAGCTGAGTTCGAACTTGTGAGCTATGAACCAAGCCAAGCTCAAGCTCAAGTCTCTAGCTCAAATTGAGCTCGAGCCTAATACTATTCCTGCAAGCCGAGCTTGAATAACCAAGTATTCGGCTTGGCTCGGCTTGAATCTGCCCCTAACTACACCTAATGAAGCAAATGATTGAAGTCAAGGAGATGGAGTAGTTTTTTCAATTTTATTTAAATTATTTGTTATTTTTTTCAACAATGTAGTTTTTTATTTTCAATTTGTATTTTTTATATTTTAATTGAAATAAAATTCCTATTTTTTGTTCCATTTTGTTTTCTATTTTGTATTTTGGTAAGTACTTTTTTCATTTCTTTATTAGATTTTTTTTTAAATTTTTTTCAATTTGTTTCCAAAAAAAGTTAAATACTTTAGTTTTACTTAAAAAAATAAAAAAAAAGTCGAAATGCCAAAAAAAAACAAAAAAAAAAAAAAATCTAAGCCTTTTTGGCCCAATTAGGCCTAGGCCCAACGCCCAACCCATGCCCATGACACAACCTACAGCTCGCAGGCTCGGGCCATGAGCGGTGCCGAGCTGACCCTCCAAGAGAGGGAGCCACGGCCCGGCTCGGCCTGCTCTTTGCGTGGCGGGCCGTGCCGGCCCGGCACGACCCATTTACACCTCTAATTGGGAGACGTTCCCCGTGCGCAGCTTGCAATGGCAAGTTGGGACGTTGTTGGCACCATGAGTTGGTAGCTGATCTGAACTCCAAATGCATTGCCTTCTCTCTTTTGACCACAAAGGATTTTCTGTGTGACAAATCCAATTTCTTTTGGAGCGAAGACGGCGACAATGGCGCCACCAGCAATCCGTTGGTCTGCGATCACTGTTCTCTTGTTTTCTCTTATCGCCTGTCCGTCCTTCGCTATTTACTGTGACGAGGACGATTGTTACGATCTACTAGGGTAAGCTTTCTCAAAATTGGCTTTTCGGTTTTACCCTTCGGTTTTTCTTCCTTTTACGATCTACTATTCCGTGTTCCGTGTTTTTTCCAGTGTCTCGCAGAGCGCAAATGCTTCGGAGATCAAGAAAGCTTACTACAAGCTCTCATTGAAATAGTAAGTTTTGAATTTAATTGTCATTGTTTAATTTTCAGACATTTCTTTATTATTCGTTTTCTGTTGCTTAATCTTAATTTTCTTTTAACTTTTTCAGTCATCCCGATAAAAATCCAGATCCGGAATCGAGAAAGCTGTTTGTTAAAATTGCAAATGCTTATGAGGTATTAATGCTATCTTGTTAGTGTTAAATTGTTGTCTTTTGTATTTTTCAGCACCGGAGTTCCTCTAACTTATGTGCTTGACATGTTGAATATAGGATTCTTTAATTTTTATTATATAGTATTTACAAAACTAATGTAAGAGAAAAATTTTATTTATTTATCTTTTGATTATAATGTTTTTCCCGTATCTGGACCTTCAGATTAGTTAAATTCATTTGTATTCGTAATATTTAGGGTGCTTAGAACTTTGAAGTCTCTGTTAGGCTTTTCATATGGATACAAAATCGATTACTTGATTTTCTTTGTTGGCCTTACTTATTAAAAGAATTATATTTCTCATTTCAGATTCTGAAGGATGAAGCCACACGGGAGCAGTACGATTATGCAATTGCACATCCGGAAGAGGTATAATTAGATAGGCTTCTTATTGTAATGGAGAATATTTTTTTATTAAATATTTATAAGTAACTAAAACCTCTGCTTCAATGCAATTGCCTTAGCTACAAATTTACAGTGAACCACTCTGTATTCAAGACCTGTCTTTTCATAGTTAGTGTTCATTTCTAGACCTTGGAGAGCCTAAATATAATGTGGACAATGAAGAAACCACGCAGGAAACACTAAATTGTCCAATTCTTTAATGCGCATTTAGAATGACTAGCCATGCTAGGGTCATATTATGTTGCTTTTGATTAAGTAAAAACTAGTAATTCATTTTTTATTTGATTGATCAGCAATAGTCATGAAACTCTACTGATCAAAATGAAAGTGCAATGGTAGGACTAACCTGCCTCTCAATCCTTAAGGTTGGATAAGAGACAGGCAGACAGCAACAGATTTTAATCATGTACCCTCTGTCCATTTAGAAATTCTATTTTATCCATTTAAAAATTTAGTCAGTTTGGTTTGTGGGCTGTACTCTGCAGTATTCCTTTCTTTGGTTACTCGCTTCTGGGCACTAGGATTTGTTTTTCTCTGAAATGTCTGAGCATTAGGAAATTCAAAAAAAAATTTCATTAACTGGTTGGTTGTATTTTATAACCAAGGCAGCTCAAAGGTAGAAGAAACTAAAAGATTGCTTACTGAAATTTGATGTGTTAGTGGTGCAAATTAAGGTTAACATGCATGCTTATTTTGAAATAATATATGCTGTGGATCACTTTATTCTTCTCTGAAAATCCTTCATCGTCAAGAAATTAAACACCCTAAGCAGAGTGATACTCTCGGAACCAGTATTTTTCATCTTTGTTGTTGCTTCCTGATACTTAAAATAAATAAAATGGCCTTCATGAACCATCATATCCTGGTATTTGATTTTTTTTTCCGAAGTCGTTCCATTTTCTTAAGTCATCCCATCCAAGCCTGAATTAGACTGGGTTAATGAGAATGTTTTTTTGGAAGCATGAAACTTAGAGGTAATATGCACATTGTGTGCTGCATTTGGCTTGTATTCTGTATGTTCTCATGCATATTTTATTGGTTTGAGTGTTCACTAAACTGTTGCCCACCATAAGGCCTCGACTCCGGGCTGGAAGCCTGGAACTTTTGTGGTATGCTCAGACACTTTGACAGGGATATGTGCTGCCTTTCATTTTTGCAGTTCCATTGAATTTATATGGATAATCACCACTACCTGGCTTCTTGCATCTAAATGAATCTATCTAATAAATATGTTCCATCTGAAAGAAATTTAGCATATACATGATGTAACTATCTTCCTTGGGGAATGAGAACCATTGGATGTTCTGTTAGTTCCATTTAAGCCAGATCTGTTTTGCATTTTTATTTCCTTGAATAGCATCATGAATGAAGATTCATTCCAACTTCTAACCTTTTTTTTTCACTTCTTGAGATTTTTTGCACCATGAAAATTTGGCTTGCAATGGAACTTTACAGCACAACCTGCTGAAAGGCTTGTTTTGCATTTTTATTTCCCTAAATAGCATCATGGAAGAAGATCAATTCCAACTTATTTTTATTCACTTCTTGAGCTTCATGAGCACCACGAACATTTGGCTTTTTATGAAACTTTTATAGCACAACCTTTTTAACTATGTTCAGAAACTGTGGTTGAGAAACCTACAAATAAATAACTAAATGCATCTATGTGGTTCTAGGCCCTTAGGATTGAGAGCATAAATATTTACCTTGATATGACAGTGTTTGGAGGTTACAGGTCTTGATGTCAGAACAATATAAATAATGTTAAATTTTATTGTTAATGCCCTGATATGCATAAAGATGCTAAAATAGAAACATGGTTGAGTTTTTATTATCAAATTCAAGAACATTAATATGTATATGATTATCCTGTTCAATATGATGATGCCATGCTCTTACTCTTGGTCTTTTAGGGTAAGTATATAGAGTCTTTTAATGCTTGTTTATTGCAAAATGAAGTGATCTTTGTTTTAATATTTATGGAATTTCTTATAGTCCATTCTATATAAATAAAATACATCTGTTGGTAAGAGAAATAAGTTTGAAGTTTTGTACCTTTCTATTCTGGCCTAGGGTGTTGTTTTGGGTGATCTGTTGTCAATTCTTGTCTCTTTGTATAGGGCCCCCTTGTACTTCCTTTTCCCTTAATCAAAGAAGAGAAAATGAAGTTAAAAGAATAAGGATGGTAAAATTGGAAAAGACAAACCATTGTACTCTAGAAGCATTCATACAGTACAAGGCCTTGGCTTTGGTACCTTGTTGTGTCAGAATTGCTTAACATATTTGAAGTAACCATCTTTTCTTATGTTTCAGGTATTTTACAATACTGCTCGTTATTATCAGGCATATTATGGACACAAAACAGTGAGTTTTTTTTTCTTCTTATGATACATAGATATCACTTCCAATGATAGAAAGATGAAGCTTTACATTTTTAAGGAACATTGTTTAGCCTCTCTATCTCTCTCTCATTTGCAGGATCCCCATGCTGTCCTGGTGGGCCTTCTTTTGGTTCTTTCAGCGTTTCAGTATCTCAATCAGTGGACAAGGTATAAACAGGTACAAAGGAACATGATATCTGATCGAAGCATGATATTAATGTTTAAATGAGGCATAGTGTAGGACCGGTGCTTCACAATGAAGTTAGCTTGGTTACTTTGTTAAGAGTGGTACCAGTCTTGGGTCCGGAACCTGTTTTTAGTCATAGGACTTGCTGGCCATCAAACCATTTCCTATTTTCCTATGATCTGGAAGTTTTATGGTTTTGTTATTTCTTGCATTATGCTTCTTTGAAAAGATTACCTTTATTGTTCTACAAATTTAATTTAATTTTTTTTTTTTTTTGTAGGGAGTGGGGGGTGGGGGTGTTGCTTTGTCATTGATATCTATGAATTCTCAATATCTATAACATGCCTTTATGGATCATTTTGATGGATCTTTTCCTACTAAGGAGGGGTGGAACCGGAAAAATTTATAAACTTGATAGTTCTTTTTTTTGACAAATATATATTTAGGATGTGAAGATTTGAACCCAAGCACAAACTTGACAGTTCTTAATACAAGAGAAATCCTTTATTGTTGCTTCATTGTTTTCCTCTGTGTGTTTTCTGTATACAAAATTTTATGGATAAATACCATAGTACCATTATCGTCTTTTTTTTGTAGATTTTCTTTTGACATTATCAAATAGCATGGCAAATTTCAATTACTACTGAATATCCTTAAATATTCCACCTTGGGACACTCAATATAATATATGTAAGAAAAAGAAAATTTTTTAAAACCTAATTCCTATTTGAGACAGGATTGTACAATAACAAAATACACTATCAAAATATAGGATGCTTTGTTTTGAAATGTGTATTTATAGTATTAAATATAAATATATTTTATGTTTTATAAGATTAAATATATTGAAATTTATATATATGCATATTTTAATTGGTTATATGTATAATCCATGTGTACATTTGTTGTGTTTAAAGTTGGCTTAAATTGTAGTTTTACCATAATTAATTGGTTTGGTAAGCTTTCTTTTTCTTTTTTCCCTTTTCTCTTCTTGGCACAGTAGTAAAAAACTAAGTTGTGGCGAAAATGTTTAGAATAACAAAATCCCTAAAATTTTGGTAAAGGGATAAATATGTAGCTGTTCCTACTTCGTGTATCTCTTATTTGAAGTGACATTCTGGTAAAGGGATAGAATTTTGAAAAGTTTTGGTGGGGCATGTAAGTTAACTTAAACTTTTTAATAGTTTCTCTCTCTTTGGGAATAATCGATTATTTTCTCCTAAGTCTCAATTTGGAAAGAGTACAAATACAAATATGTACAGTACGGATGCATAAAAAATAATACAAAATACAAGCTTTTGCACTCTACGTATTTGTATTTGCACTCCTTCCAAACTGAGTCTAAAATGTTCAGTTATATGAAGTTTCAAATTTTTTTGTTTTTAGTTCTTAAAATTCATTTCTTTGTGCTTGTTGCAGGCTGTAAGTATGGTCAAGAAGACACCGGCTTATAAGAACAGACTCAGGGCACTGGAGCTTGAACGCAGTGGTGGGGTAATAAACAAGAAAAAGGGTCAGAAACAGATGGACAAGTATGGTTTCTTTTTAATCTTTGCATTTTACTATTTTTTGTCAAGGTGGCAATACTAGTTGTAGGGGCCATTTGATAATAACTGATGTGGCTTATTGGTTTCACTTTTAGTGAATAAGTTACTGAGGAGGTTATGAGCTCTTGATGGCTGAAACTGAAGTTGGGTTGATTACCATGCACTCAAATATTTTATTTATCATCATCCAAGCCTTACCCCAACTATATAGGGTTGGCTATGCACTCAAATATTTTATTATTTAATTATATTTAATCCACTAAACAGCAAAGTAATAAGTCTTTTTTTAGTTAATGAGCAATAAGTCATTCAATTCAGCCATTTTAGCAATTGATTGAAGCATTAACCTATTGTGTATTGTTTTTTTTTTCTTTTACATTCTTAAATTTTCAATTATTGTCTTGGTTTCTCTAGTATGAGCAGTCCATTCCAAAAGTGTGGTTAACATTTGATGATCCATTTGTTCATGTCAGAAAGATGGAAGAGGAACTAAGTAAGGAACTTGAGCTGCAGATAAAGGGAGCTGAAAAACCCTCCATGTGGGAACTTGTTGCTGTCCGTTTTTTACTCTTACCTTACACTGTTGGCAAGGTAGAACACCAATTCGATTAAGCAACAGCATCAAGTAAACTTTTTTTTTTGAAGGCAAGCATCAAGCAAACTTGTATGTACATGACTTGGCAGGAAATATGATGGGTTCTATTTTGTTGTTTTTCCTGTTCATCTTTCAATTTTCTAGTGCAAGATGTGCTTATTATTAGTTGATTATATTGCATCTATCTCAACTTCATAGGAGTAACTTGTTTTTGTTAGTCCATGCAGCTTTTGCTATGGAATGGGTGGTGGTTCTGGAGATACCAAGTGAAAAAAGCTCCTTATGCTTGGGATGATGCCTGCTACTTGACAAGGAGATCTCTCAGAATTCATGTTGATGCATGGAAAAATATTGGTAACTGAATAACTTAATATACACTATTAAGCCAATAATTTTGGCGTGCATCAGGCATTTTCCCTACCCGGCTACCCGGGTCAGTTTATCATCGACCTGGGTTTCTTTTAATTTACCTGATACATAGACTGTTGTTTATTAGATGAAACAGCAAAGGATGATCTTGTCCGAAGACGATTATGGGAGAAGTCAAACCTGGAGCATTATTTGGCTGAGCTGCGTAAGGAATCAAAACGAAGGAGATAGCTGGTTTTGTTTGAAGCTACGCTGCTAGAGTCAATTGTCCTTTTGCATCACTCTTCATCCATCTACTTAAGTTATTTCTTGAATCTTGGTCAATTTTAACAAACTAAACTAGTGTAAGGGCTGAATTCTTGTTCAATTTTGACAAACTAAACTAGTGCAAGGGCACATGCTATGTATGTGGACAAGTAAAGGTAAAAAGGGTAAAAAGACGAAAAACATACATTTTGGCAAAATGGGAATAGGAGATGAATAGACACTCAAATTTTGAAAAATTTTCATTGTACTTCTCTGACTTAACTCAGTGCTTAGATTTAAAGATTAAAAATATTTGGGCAGTATTGGCATTATATGGTAAAGATTTTGTTTGATTAAAGTAGATACAAAATATTGTTTACATTTGTGCTATCAGCTCTAAGGTTGAACTTCTACTTGAAGGTGGCAACAAGCTCAGTTGGTAAGGCCTCTGGGTGGTTATGGCCGAAAAGTGGGATCAAATGCTGCATTCACCAAGGTTGGGGCTTATGGGTTTGGCGATGAGCTACCCCTGGGTTATGGTGGGTTTGGGTTGAACCCAACCCATTTAATTTTCATTAAACGGGTTGATGGGTCTGGGTTGGGTTGAAAGCAAACCTTGCTACAATATACACTCTATAAACGATAATCTACTACTGGTTTCCGCCTCATCGAGCGAGACTAGAAACAAATTATCTCTGTCGAGAAAACAATAAAAAAGAGACTAGAAGCAAATTTTCCGAAGTCCAAAACTCCAAACATGGATTGTAAACGGGCCTCGCAAATTCAAGCTCATTTACGATTTGTCACTGGCAGTACGTTGAATTTGCATGCAACCGGGCGCCCCCGCAGCCATTGCAGGCTTGCAGCTGTACATAATACATCGGTAACATCTAAGGATTAAGTATCATACGATACTCTCGATACGGAGCGTATCGTATTTGTATCCATGATCATGGATACATGATATGTTATGACTGGATACATATCCTACGAGTTGTGCATATTGGGTATGATATGTTTTTGTATCATGCCATATCATACTGTATTAGTGGATACGGTCTGATACACACCGATACGAAGACGTATCCTGTTTAGTTTGACAAAATTGTATATTGAGTACTTTTGGATTGTTTTTCATCTTTAATACAAGTTAAAAAATAATATTATGAAAACTGAAGTAAATAATTTAAGATTTAATTTCTCCAAAAAAATTAATTAAAACTAAAAATTATAAAAATAATACATTTCATCTACCTTAGATGATTTATATGTTTTATTTTACACATAATTATATGTTAAAATTAAAAACATAGTTATTATTTGAAAAATAGTCATTATATAAAAATATTAAATAAATAAATTTTCCCAATAAAATTAATGGAAAACAGAAAATTATAATTATAAAAACCAAAACGAATAATTTAAGATTTAATTTTTCCAAAAGATTTAATAAAAACTAAAAATTAAATATAATTTATTTTATCTACCTTAAATAATTTATTTGCTTTATTTTACAATTCTGTGTTAAAAATTATATAAAAATATGTTAAAAATGAACACATATTGTTATTTAAATAAAATACTAAATTAATAAATATTTCTAAAAATTAATAAAAATTGAAAATTATAATTATAAAATTAAAAGTGATAATTATTGTACAATGTTTAAATTTTCAGAGTCTTAGTATTGTTTATTGTAATATTTCTCTTAATATAACTTATTACCTATTGAAATACGCATTTTTCATATCTTTATATCTTATTTATAGATAATTCAACTTTTGATTTAATATTATTAATGTATCTATTACATTTTATTAGTATATTCAAGCATTTTTATATCTTTCGTTCATATCCATACGTTTTTAAAACTATCAATATCCGTATTCATATCCGATTTATCTGATATTCGTCCTTGGTAACATCTTGCCATGATAACGACAAGGGAGAGGTTCCTAATGCACGGCTGCAATGGTGTTGGGACCCTCCGTTGGGACTACGAACTCGGCCATGGCTACAATGTAAGCTCATCAGAGTGGAAATGGCGAACCAACCGATGGATGAACCATTTTGATCCATATGCGAATTCACGCGATAGATGAACGTCTGTTCCGTTTTCCAGGAACCACACATCCAGTTTCACTACTAGTACACCATATCCCGCCTTTTCCCGTTTTCCATAAGCAAAGCAGCGTCAGGCGTCAGCTGGTCTCAGTAGAGCTCTTAAACCCTTCTCCACTCCATTAAGGTTCATGTCTGCCTGAAAAGTGGGTTCGGGGTTCCTCTGATTCCATCAGAGCTCACGCGAGCAAACTTTCGTTAATGGCCGAGTTTCGGGTACTTTGAAGTCGTGATTGTTCGTTCTTCGATATAGTCTAATATGTATTGAGTTTATGATATTAAATTAAATAGTTGCTTTTTTGTTTAAACGGGTTTTGGTGAACATTGGTTTTCTTGTTCCGCTTACTAACAATCTGGGGGAAGATGGTTCATCCAGAAAGTACCAATTTTCAAAGGAACCAACGTTGTTGGTCGCAATGATATCTCCGTTTCTGACAAAAGAATGAGTCGTAAGCAAATTATTCTCGATACTTCGGCTGAAGGTTCCGCCGATGTAACTGTGGTATGTAGTTTTTTAATTTCTGTAAAACATTTGCCATCTGCTTGTTCCCTTCAATGAATGAAATTTGTTTGCAATTGTGTCAAATTGTTAGCTTTTTACGCTTTTTGGAAATTCATTTACCGTCTATCTGATACGTCTGATTGAAATGCGTGGTTTATTGGGATGGTGGGCATTTGAAAAAATATGTATGGGCTCGTGCATTTTCTTTGGGATTAAGGCTGAGTTGAGTTGAGATTGGCTTATGCATATGTTCTGATGAATTTGAGTCTTTAGTTGAGTCTCTTTAATGGATTTGCAGGAGGGACAGAATCCAATTGTCATTAATACTAGCGATCGGAGGAAGAAGCTATGTTCTGAAGATAAGATTAGGATTGCCAATGGTGATATTCTTGAGCTGATTCCTGGGCATTATGTTTTTAAGTATAAATTTTTGCCTGTTCAAAGACATATATCTTCATCCGAGACACTTGAAAAGGTCTTCATCCAAAGGAAAAGATGTTAGTGAAGATGAGAGATTAACTCTGAAGAGGAAGCGACAAATTTCTGAAGATGAAGCCTTGCCAAGACCTTCGCAGGTTTCTTCTTTACTCTTCAGCTACTATTACTTTGGTCCTTCATTTGGTTATCTTGGATGCTATCTTATGGCATTTCCTGTTACAGCAAGTTAACAAGTGCCACGAGCAAACAGTACAAACAGTACACACAAAGAATTCATGGTCCGAAAGATGTGCTGAAATAGATAAAAATTAGATTGACAGAATCTGGGAAATAAATGTCTTGAATAACTTGTAACTATTCTTCCTCCAAATTATTGTCTTTTCCAAGAAACTGATTGAGGAAATTTTTTGGGAGTTATTTGGTGCCAACTTTGTTGAACATAAATAGACATGTGGCAAAGGAATTTCTGTTAATAAATTCTTCATTTATATTAATCAGATAATAAGTGGATCCATTTGGCTAGTGTTTGATCACAATGTACTGATAACGGCTTAATATAAAGGGGAATAAATTAGTTTCTACATTCTGAATCCTGATATTGGTAACACCTATATAATTTCTACAAAACAACTCCATTTGTTTATCTGCTAATATAGATTATGAATGGCTGTTGCATGGATGAGGGATTGATCACCTTGATGCATTATATTTTGATAGACACATTGATGCATTATTAAATTCAACTAGATGTTTCAGTGACCAATAAAAGTTTTGATTGACTTCCCCTATCTGTGGCTACATTTTGCTAAATGTATTTGTAACCTTGATTTTGAGATTGTTAAAAAAAGGTCATTTGATTGCATATTTTATGAGCTTAAAACCAAAATAATGTAGTTTGGACATGTTGGGAAGGAGTTATAGCTAAAGTATAGACAAACATATGTCTCTGAGATGGAATATTATTTTATATTTACCCAGGTTATATTGGCTAATATAAGTATTTTTGTTATCCTAGCTTAAATGAAAGTAGGACTTTACCTTCTAATTGTTTTCCTCAGAGTCCTAATATTGTTTGTGTCACTTTATAGTTTTCTTTGTTGAATTTTAATCCCCATTAAGTCTAAGCCAGTATAGATCAGTTGCTAGAGAGTTTTCCCCCTGGAGTTTAGTTTCAAATCAGCTACTACCTTAAGTATTTCTGAATTGTTTTATTGATCCAAAATTCATTGGAGGAGTCTATTATAGATCGGTCATTAAGCCCCATAAATATGTGTGTATAGACCAAGATGGGCTTGAAGAAACATATGATCATATAAATTGGCAATTACTAACTACTTGTTAGGTACAGAAAATTTTGGCTGGAAATGGAGATGCTGGATGAAATTATGTGAATCTATTCTGGAACTCTCCGTACCTATCAATAGAGGTTGAACAGGTTTCCTTAAAAGCCACCAAGGATTGAGACAGGCAGATCCCCTCTCTCCTCTCCTCTTTATTTGTGTCATAGAAGCTCTCCAACAATTATTAAACAAGGTGGCTGAAGGGGGCTATATTGAAGGTTTTAGGGTAAAACAGAAGGCAGGAATCTTCTTAAATTTGATGATATTATCTTCTTTTTAGAAGCATCTTGAGTCTCTATAATAATTGCTAAATCTTCTTTAGGTTTTGCAGTGGTCTGAGGTGTTTCAGGTTTAAACATAAATCTAAAAAACAGCTCCATTATTTCAGTAGGGAAAGTGGAGAGGATAGAGCTTGCAGAGAACTAGAGAAGTGTATTTTAATAAGAGTAATACATTGGCTGAGAACTTTAAATTCTTTTCAATCTTTTATCATTGATGATCTCTGGAGGAATTGGTCAGTAGTGGCTAACAGTTCTACTGGAAGAAACAGGGTCACCGGTCACTGTAGCACGGTCTTCACCTTTGGAAGGGTTTATAAAGTTGAATTTTGATGGAAGCAGCCAAGGTAATCCAGGGCTGTCAGGTATAGGCGGGGTCTTGAGAAATGAAGAAGGCAACATTTTATCTTTGCTCTCAGGTCCAGTGGGAATAGGAGATTCTACAAGAGCCTAAGTGCTAGCTGCTGTACAAGGAATTCAGATTCCAAATCAACTCGGTGTGGACAGCTTAATTATAGAGGGAGATTCTAAGGTTGTCATGGGGTGGTTGCTGAATCCGGATTTTGTCACTTGGACTGTAGGGATCTTCTAAAGAAGGTTAAGTGGCTGACAAGGAATATGACAACTAGAATACAATGGATGAGAGGTTGGCTAATTCAATGGCAGATTTCTTAGCTTAACAAGGGGCTTCAAGGGAAAATCTTTACTGGGTTGTGTTGTAATTTTCTAGTTCTGCACTATAATATAAGGGTGTGTCTGCACCTCACGCCCTCCTCAATTATCAAAAAAAAAAAAAAGTGGAGAGGATAGAGGAATTGCTGAGGTGTTGGGGTGTGAATTGCTTGTCTTTCTACAAAATATTTGGGGTTGCCACTGGGAAAAAAATATACATCCATTGCAAATATGGGATCTGGCGATTGAGTAGTGGCTAGGAAGACAGGAGGCTGGACCGTGGAGACTCAGTCACTACCTAGCAGAAGCAAGGGATTTATTGGCAGCTTCAAATGCAAACCTGCACTGGATCCCAAGGGAGCTCAATGCTTTTGCAGATGGGTTAGCAAAATTAGGTGCTCTTTTAGAAGTTCTGTACTGTGATAAGATCCCCCCTGTGTAATTCTCAGGGGTCTGATCCCTGTTTTTCTTTCTTTTTCTCCTTGTACACCCTCTTGTGTACCCCTCTTTTTGTTAAATGAAATCAGTTAACATTTCTCAAAAAAAGGATAGCTTTTTGGAAGACCAAATACCTTTGAAAGGGTGGAAAAGTGATTCTTATAAAGAACACTTTGGCAAATCTCCCATCTTATTGTCTCTCACTATTCCCTATCCCAGCAAAGATGGCTATAGAACTTTTGCAAATCAAAAGGAAATGTAGAGATAGTTAATAGTGTGTGTGGTTCCAGTCCCACACTTATTTATCTTATTATGTTTTTTATTTCCTTTTATAGTTGGGCCAGCTGGGCCTTATTTATCTTTTATCTTTTTTAATTTGTGTTTTAGTTTAAGTAGGGGTATTAGAGTAATTCCTACTCTTGTAAGGAGATTAATATATATAAATAATATCTTATGGGGCAGCAGTATCATTGAACCGAACCTCTTCTTCCTTTCTCCTCTTCTTCTTCTTCTCTCTTCTTCTTCTCTTCGAAGCCTGTGTTTCTTTTCTTTTCCTAAATTACATCAGACCACTGCTGTGTTCTATTTATTTCAAGTTGGTATCAGAGCAAGATCTAGGGCTTCTCATGTGAGTCTAACCCAGCCGATCACATGAGAATTATCTAGGGTTGGACGATTAGAAAGAAGCTTTCTTTTGGCTGATTCTTGGAGGTTACCAGAGGTTTTTTAGCAGCTGTTCGAAGATTGGAGAGTGTTTCTGGTAATCAGGAAGAATCAGAGAAGGTTAAAGGGATCAAGATTAGTTTTTTTTTATTAAGATTAAAGGTGGAGATCAGAGTCTGGGTAAGTTTTCATCTCTACAATCAGTTTATTGATCAAGATTAGTTTTTTATCTCTTCTTGAGGCCAGCAGCAATAAGAGATAAGTAGGACTTATCTAGAAGGTGCGGCTGAGAAAATCTAAGTTTTCTAGGGTTTATTCTTAACCCTATGATCATTTTTTTACTGAGACCTATTTGGAGGGTGTGGCTGAAGAAAAAATCTGATCTTGAACCTTTTTTGGAGGGTGCGGCTGAGAAAAATCTGATTGTGAATATTGGACTGATTACAGTCCAGGTTTGTCTACTAAGGAATTGACTTCTGACTGTGATTGCAAAAGATCTGTCGGCTGAGATTAAGTTCTTGGAGTTTTCTTTCTTTTCTTGCTGAGATTAAATTCTGGATTGTCTTCTCTAAATTTTTAAGTGTTGCAAAAAAAAATATCCTTTTTAGGTATTCTTCTTGGAGTTTTTTGGCTTATTAGTGCTCTCTTAGAATGGAGAAGTTTGGAAGTGAGTTAAAAACACAAGGGGAAGGATTTTTTGGAACTGGTAACATGACTGAAAACTCATTTCAGATTACCACTGTTAGGTTTGATAGAACCAATTACTTGGAGTGGGTCCAATCAGCACTGATGGCTATTGGAGGTAGAGGTAAATTAGGCTATGTGACCAGGGATACATAGAAGCCAGCAAAGAAAGATACATCACATCCGAAATGGGTTTAAGAGAACTACTTGGTTATAACTTGGCTATGTAATTCTATGCAACTTCCAACCACTCAATGTTGCTAGGGCTTATGAGCTGAAGTGTGAAGTGAATAAATTCAAGCAAGGAGAGAAGCCAGTCTCAGTGTATTTTGCTACTCTGAAATCCCTTTGGCATGAAATTGATCACTTGGAAACCATTGAATGGGAAAGTCAGAGGGATGCAGCAACATATAGAAAACTGATTGAAACAAATAGAGTTTTTTAGTTCTTAGCTGGTCTAAACTCAAAATTTGACATTATAAGACAACAACTTCTCACTAGGGAGAGTGTGACTTTATCTCAAGCCTACACATTAGTCCATAATGAAGAGAGTAGGAGGAAGGTTATGCTATCTTTTCAGCTCAGAAGCAGCCTTGGCAGCAACAATATCTAAGGTTGGAGGGGAGAAGGAAAGAAAATTCAAGAAGGAAGACAAAAGAGATATTTTTTGTGATCATTACAAGAAGCCCAAACACATTAGGGACACCTGTTGGAAGTTGCATCCTCACCTAATGCCAGCTAGACTTAGAAACAAGAAGGGGGGTGCTAATGTAGCAACTACTACTGATAGTGCATCTTCTTCTAGCACAAGGACCACATCCTTGGATGCTTTAGCAGCTCTTCGGGCTGCACTGACACAGTTAGAGAATGAAACTGGTATTTTTGGATCCACATTTCAGTCTTCAGCTACCACACCTGCTCATCCTACTTCAGCCCTTGCTCATACAGGTACAAGAGCTACAACATGTCATGATTCTGTCCCAGGTAACACTAGACCATTATGGGTAATAGATTTAGGTGCTTCAGACCATATGGCCAGCTTATCTACTTTGTTTTCCACTTATTGTTTATCCTCTGGGAGAGACAAAGTTTCTATTGCTGATGACTCCCTTGTGTCAATTTTTGGCAAGGGAGACATCAGATTGTCTGATGCCATTTCCCTATCCTTAGCTTTGCATGTTCCTAAGCTTAGTGCTAACTTACTTTCAATTAGTAGTATTAGTAAAAATCAAAATTATTTAATAACCTTTTTTTCCTGATTGGTGTGTTTTTCAGGATCTGGAAACGAAGAAGGTGATTGGGATTGGCTGTGAGATGAATGGAGTTTACCTGTTTGCACATCCATAGGGGAAGCAGAGTGAAGTAAGGAAATTGTTTGAGTAAGATTATGCTTTGGCATAACTGATTAGGTCATTTGTCTTTTGGGTCTTTGAAGAGTCTGTTTCCAAAATTATTTGAGTCAATCCAAGTGTCTAGTTTGGAGTATGAAAGTTGTGAACTTGCAAAACACAGTAGATCAACTTATCCTTTTGAGTAATAAAAGAAGCAACCTTCCTTTTGAAATTGTGCATACCGATGTTTGGGGGCCATATCATACTCCCACCATGGGGGGTTATAGATATTTCTTGTTATTTGTTGATGATTATACCTGCTTCTTATGGGTTTACCTTGTGCACTCTCAACATGAGGTTCCTTCTTTGACCCAGTCTTTCCATCAGATGGTTCTAACCTAGTTTGAAATCAAGATCAAAATTCTTAGATCCGATAATGCCAAGGAATATTTTGCAAAACCCTTGGCATCATATCTCTTTGATCATGGGCTCATTCATTCACCAGAAGCACTTGTCCTTCTTCACCTCAGTAGAATGGGGTTGCTGAGAGAAAGGACAAACATATCTTAAAGGTAGCTAGAAGCATCATGCTCAACTCTAATGTTCCCATACGCTTTTGGGGGGATGCAATCCGTACAAGTGTTTACCTTATTAACAGGATTCCTTCATGGGTTCTAAACATGCAAACACCATTCAGCCTTCTATATCCAGATAAGGACTTGTTTACTATTCCCCTCAAAACTTTTGGGTGTATTTGTTTTGTTCAAATCCTTAGACCTCATCGCTCCAAGTTTGATCCCAAAGCTACCAAATGTATTTTCCTTGGGTATGCACAAAATCAAAAAGCATATTACTATTATGAGCCTGTTTCAGGGAAGCATTTTGTGTCCATGGATGTCACTTTTTTTGAGGATATGCCCTACTATCATAGGGCTTCTCCTCAGGGGGAGAATAGTGAGGAAGAGATTTCAGTTTTAGCCCCAAAGGTTCCTTTACCTGTACTGAGGGGGAGTGTTGTGAAGAGGGTTGTCAAACGTGCAGAGTTGAGAGTGTATCACAGACGGTGGTGGGGGCAGGTTGATTCCCATCCTCAACATCAATCCAGGTTGAACCCAACATCTTCTACAACCCCAGATTCAGACACTACCACTGCTCCCACTGTTGAGCCCACTATTATAGATACTTTACTTGACACCGTTGATCCTCGGCCTCTACCATCAGATGACCTTGATCTTCCAATTGCAATTCGTAAAGGGAAGCGCTGTTGCACCTCATCCACTGCCCATTGTATCTCCATGTTCCTTTCCTATGATTGTCTCTCAGAATCCTATAGATTTTACCTGACATCTATTGCTACTATTCCTATACCTAGAAAAGTGCAAGAAGCTCTATTGATACCTGAGTGAAAAGAAGCAACGAAAGTAGAGATGAATGCTCTTGTTAAGAACAACACATGGGAACTAGTTAATCAGCCTGAAGGAAAGAAACCTGTTGGATGCAGATGGGTGTTTACTGTGAAATATAATGCTAATGGTATTGTAGAGAGGTATAAAGTCAGATTGGTTGCAAAGGGATTCACACAAACTTATGGCATAGACTATATGGAAACCTTTGCACCTGTTGTAAAGATGAACACTATCAGAGTCCTACTATCCATTGCTGTAAACTTCTCATGGCCACTATTTCAGCTGGATGTTAAGAATGCTTTCCTCAACGGAGACTTGCAAGAAGAGGTATACTTGGAGTTACCCCCTGGTTTTTATAGCACAGAAGTAGGAAAGAAAGTTTGCATACTGAAGAAGGCTTTATATGGGCTGAAACAATCTCCGAGAGCTTGGTTTGATAGGTTTAGATTGGCTTTGGATAAATTCGGCTACATACAGGCTTAGTCAGATCACACTCTCTTCTTTAAGAAGATAGGTTTTTCACTGACCATACTTGCTGTCTATGTGTATGACATTGTGATAACAGGGAGTGATATTAGTGAGATTGAATCTCTTAAACAACATCTTCACAAGGAATTTGAAGTGAAGGACTTAGGAGAATTGCACTATTTCTTGGGAATTGAGGTAGCTCGATCTAAGAATGGCATTTTTATCTCTCAGAAGAAGTATGTTCTTGACTTATTGGAGGAAACTGGAAAGTTAGGAGTGAAACCTGTTAACACACCTATTGAGCTTAACTATAAAATAAGTGCAGAAAGTGGAGAACTTCTTGAGGACAGGGCTATGTACCAAAGGCTCGTTGGAAAACTTCTTTATTTCTGCTTAACTCGGCCAAATATTTCATATACTTGCCTACTTGAAGAGATGCCTAAGGAGAGGTATACTCTTCAAGAATAGTGGTCACATGAAAATAGAAGTATATACAGATCGGATTGGGCTGGATGTGTTGATGGTAGGTGGCCTACCTCTGGGTATTGTGCATTTGTGGGGGCAAATCTTGTTTCATGGAGAAGCAAGAAACATAATGTTGTTGCTCGCTCCAGTGCAGAAGCTGAATACAGATCCATGGCCAATGGTGTTGCAGAAGTGTTATGGCTGAAATCCTTGCTTAGTGAGGTGGAAATTGATTATGAGAAGCCTCTGATGCTGTATTGCGATAATCAAGCCGCAATTAATATTGCCCACAACCCAATACAGCATGATAGGATTAAGCATATCGAGGTGGACATACATTTTATCCGAGAGCGAGTTGCATCTCAAGAAGTGTGCTTTACATTTCCTTAGACATGCAGTTAGCTGATCTCCTCACTAAAGCAGTCACAAAGAACAAGTTGGAGACAGATTTACACAAGTTGGGAATGACAAACATCTACTCCCAACTTGAGGGGGAGCGTAGAGATAGTTAATAGTGTGTGTGGTTCCAGCCCCACACTTATTTATCTTATTATGTTTTTTATTTCCTTTTATAGTTGGGGCGGCTGGGCCTTATTTATCTTTTATCTTTTTTAATTTGTGTTTTAGTTTAAGTAGGGGTATTAGAGTAACTTCTACTCTTGTAAGGAGATTAACATATATAAATAATATCGTATGGGGCGGCAGTATCATTGAACCGAACCCCTTCTTCCTTTCTCCTCTTCTTCTTGTTTCTTCTTCTCTTCGAAGCCTGTGTTTCTTTTCTTTTCTTAAATTACATCAGACCACTGCTGTGTTATATTTATTTCAAGTGGAAATTTATATGGGAAGGTTGGAAAAGAGAGCAGAAAATGCATTTAGTTAGCCGGGATTCTGTGTGCAAGCCCAAGGATAGGGGTGCATGGGATATGAAAATTAGGCAGTTCAACAAGGTAATTCTTAGCAAATGTTTTGGCATTTCAACTCTTAAACAGAAAGCAGTTGGAGATCCTTAATAGAGACAAAAATTGGGCTGAGTAATGGGGGATGGGACCCTGACAAGTCTCTACCTGCATATGGATGCTCAGTTTGGAGAGGGATTGAGAATTCTTTTGATTTTTTCATCTCCAGCATCACCTACAAGCTTGAAGATGGTTCCAAAATCAGGTTATGGCAGGATGCTTAGTTTGATAAGAGACCATTAAGAGAGCTTTTTCCAAATCTGAATGTAATGGCTGAAGATAAGGAGATAGGGGACTGACAGTACTATGATCTATTCAATAAAAAAGAAATTTGGACACATGAAAATTTCATAGAAATCTGTTTGATTTGAAGATCAATTGTAGCTTTACTCCTAAAATTGCAAAATTCCAACCCAAGGGTTGATGGAGTAGACAGCAGGCGCTGAAAGTGGGAAAAGTTAAGTGACCTCACTGCTAACTTAAACCAGGTATCAAGAGGCTGGCAAATGTGGATAGCAGTGGCTTCCCTGATATTGACTGGCATCCTAAAGTCCCCTCAGCCTCAAGTCATATTCTTTGTATTGACTGCAGACTTGAACAAATGTTCTACAAAGAAATACCTCATTAAAAGTGGGATGAATTTATCTCTTCTAGTCTGTTTATTCTGCAATCATCTCATGGAATCCACTGATAACATTTTTCTCCACTGCTCCACCATCTCCAAGACCTGTTTTTTCTTTCTTAGGTGTCTGTATATTGACTGGGTGTTTCCTTGAATAGTTATGGAGGCTTTGGATTGATGGCCCTTGGGTGGTTTAAACAGGAAGGGGAAGATGGTTTGAATTCTAAGAGAAACTAGAAGAGACCTGTGCGATGCATGGGCTGGTGTTAAAAAGATGTCCATGTTACATTCAGTTTTTTAACTGAATTGATTGTGGTTTAACTTACATAACCCCATATATAATTTTTTATTTTAAAAGTCTAAAGAAAAATCACAAAATTCTTAAAGGGTTGGAAAACGATATGAGGAATCTGACGTGTACAACTGCATTTTAGTATGTAGTATAAATTTGAGAATTTTTGAAAATACAGCAAGATGGGATGATGAAATCCTTAGAACTGCTGCATCTCTTCTGTTCCCCTGGGTATCAACAGGAGAGATATTCAAACATTTTTTTTGTAATTTGTTTACCAAAAGAATTGTTAGTGAGGTTGAAGGATAGATCTGTTGTTTTAATCTCTGGTACAAAAATTTGCACAGATAGGTTCTGTGTACTGCTTCTCACTGAACAGATCTTTTTGGAGGTTTTCTTCCCCTTGTAGTTTTTTTTTTTTTTTTTTTTTTTTTTTTTTTTTTTTGAGGATCTATCTTAAATGTTAATATACTTTACTTTTTCTCACAAAAAATATATCAGAAACACGAGATATGTTGATAAATAGAAGTGGTCTCTTTGAAGCCTTCCTCTTTTTTTTGATAGGTAAAGGAATATTTTATTAAGAATTAACCAAAATGTGTACGGAAAGGCATCCCAAAGGGAGGCGTGAGATGCAGCCTCAGGCACAAATCAGCTTATATTTTGTTAGAGAATATCAACCTATTCAAGGACCTCACCTAACAGCTTAAGCTTTTAGGTTGAATGGTTCTTTGAGATGGATTAGAGCCATTTTGACCAAGTGGTCTAGTGTTCGATCCTCGTTACCCCCATTATAATTAAATAAGTTTCAGCACAAGG